GTTCTTTAAAGGAGGCCTTCCGTGGTCAAGGTCAAAGGCAGGTGGAACGTTTATTCCACCCAGGGTGACCACTACAGATTGATTGATTGATTGATTGATTGATTGATTGATTGATTGATTGATTGATTGAGACGGCGGACTATAAACACTGCTACTAACTCAAACTAATTGACCTTTTTCATAACTTGTAAAATGTTAAAGATGGGTTTGTTTCCAACAGTAAGGCTGTTGTGTAGAAACATGTCTTTGGGATGATGCTGAGCTGATCTAATTGTCTGTGGTGACCATCTTCAAATGTGAATCAGCTGTAGACATTTGACATCTACATGTAAGGATTACTTTCTGAGAGTCTTATTAAAGTCTGGTGTTTTAGAAAAATATTTCACAGAGAGACAGAGTTCATTTTAATATTCAATGCAAAATAAATAAAAGATCTTGTGAGGTCAGCCAACAGGCAGAGTAGACGTTGGACGTGACTTTCAATAGCTTCAACTATTTTATTTTAATTTTATCTTATTTTACTGCCAATAGACAAACCAATGTTGTACTGAAACATATCCCTTTGTTGTGTTTGCTGAGGTGGTTTAGGCCAGGTGTATTGAATGTTGTTGACACCAAAAATTAGTTAGTTGTAGATGTGCAGCCAGTGCTTCCTTTCTGGGAGTGCCGTTAAAATCAGAGTAGTAGTTCATGAGATACAGTAAATTGGTAACATGACAGACAAATGGACACACAAATACATGTGGGGGGTGGGGGTGGGGGTGACCATTTTTGGCAATACACATGTATGGGGACCAACTGGTACATTCGGGAGCCTAAGCCAGAAATGTCATTAGATTGGGGCTTAGGAATTAACTGTAGGCTAAATTTAGGATCAGGATAGGTTTAGGGTTAGGGGTCAGGGTGATGTAGGAGTGAATTGATATCAATGCAATGTCCCCATAAAGATAGCTGTACTAGACCAAGCTGAAACACAAACTGACCTTTGCACTCCTGGCCTTTATTTGGAATTGCTCTTTACACACAACCTGAGCATGTATTTAGAAACAAATAAAAAATACTGTACTTTATATGGCTAAAGGAAGATAATGAAATGAAGACTTGTACTTAGGGAACTAACTATTGAAGCTAACTCCCATTAACATTTTTTTTATTTTGTTAATTCATTTTTTTATTTTAAGAAAGCCATTACAGTCCAGCTGCAGCACGTGGAAGCAGGCTGTTATTCTGTCAGTATAACCCCTAACAGGAGGAGTAAATACGATGCACATTGCTGGTATTAATGAAGGTCTGCTTCTTTATGAGGAAACAGAATTTTTTTCCCCTCTCAGCTAAATTACAGGTGCACGCTTTCTCATAATGAATCACAAAAAAAATGCTCTCTTTTCCTTTGTATTCAGCATCTAATTGCCTTGAATGCAATTTTAAAACCATCTTCATTTTGAGAAAAGCTAAAAGTCGTTTTATTTTTAACTAAATGTTTAAAAGTAAAGTTGCAGAACAAAAAAGATAATGGAATCATCCAGTTATTTGCACAGTTGTGTAACAAATCAAAGAACACACGAATTAATGAACAGAGTGACAACACACACACACACACACACACACACA